AAGTCGGTGAGCTGGGAGTCAATGTATTAAGTATTAAGCTATCCACTGTATCAAATGATCAAAAATGCATCCCTTTTCACTGTTATTACTTAATGACTAATTTAGGAAAAGAAATTGTATGAAGAAATGTATAGGCTACATCAAGAGACCCTTGAGCAACTTATTGTAATAAACATTTCTAATAACTCAAGTCTCTGCCAGTTTCAAATCCTTATACTTTATGCAATGATGTTGCAGTTATACTCTGACATATAGCTTATGAATTTCATTCTCCACTATATTGTATCTAATAGTTCCTATAATACCATCAAATCATGCTACTGTTCCCCTTTTCCAATCACAGCCAATCCTGAAATTAGATAAAACTCATACTAATATAAACATCTTTTACCTCTATTTACATGTTTATTGAGCAAACAAACATAAGCCCAGGAACAACAGATACAACTTTGAGAATTAGGGCTGGCAATGCCTCTGTAATTTATTAACATAGTTTTCTATTATGCTTTTCCTGATTAAAGATACAAAGAGTGATGTTTTCCCCAATTCACTCTTTTAGGTAAGAATTTAGCAAAGATCGTTGAGTTTTTTTCCCCCAATGGAAATCAGAGGCAAAACTCCATTCAGAGTTATCACAAAAGCAAAAAGTTAGATAGGGTTTGTGCTTTATTGCATGTAGAAGATGATCTTGAGTTGGGGGGAAACTATCACTAATCACCACCTGTCATCTTGGAATACCCACACCAAGCACTACATATTTTAATGGAGTTCATGGACTATTCATCTGAGTTGAGCCAAACTATGTAACCAAGGTCCATGATTTTCCTTCAGTACAATACTTAAGAGATCACTTGCTTTGCTTATCAGCAGAAAATAACATCCAGTATATTTGTATGTCTTTCTCTTCTAATATGGTAGGGGAAAAAAGAACTAGGAGAAACAAGCCAAACAATAAAAGACAATAACATTCGCCAACTTAGGGAACCTCAGATCTGTTCCTATCAGTACCACTTTAGCGGTTGAATAAAGCAACAGAATCATTCAATATGTACTTTGACTCTCAGAAGCTTTGTATGTTGTTTACATATTTTATGTATCGGTGGATGAAATAACATGAGATATATTGCCAAGAAGTTTCATCTTTTGTTATTTTTTTCTAAGGCTAATGAACCTAACAGTACACATTTCTGGCATTTATTCTTATTTAAGAGAACACGGGAATGCAGCCAACATAGCATGGCACCTTTGAAAGAGAGAAAACTAAAGACAATGAAGAAATCATTATCTTTCCTGACTACCATTAGAAATAATGAAAGCTAAACAGCAGAACACATTTTGAGGAGGAGTAAACATGACCTCTGCAAAAATAAATTTTGCTTCACCAAATATGAACATGTTTGATAACATCAACAAGCATGTGAATTGAAATAATGCAGTAGATAACACTTTGACTAAATATCCTAAGAAAATTATAGCCAAGGAATAAGACCTTATGATATTGTAACTTCGAGCTATAAGGTAAGAATCTTCTTACCAGATTCAATAGAATTAAGGACTTGGGTCCATAAAACCATTACTTTACTTCCCCTTTTTTTTCCTATGGGGAAATGCTTGCTTTCAGGGCTGAGGCTGACAGAAATGAACAAAAATGTTCTGCTTCCTCCCTGGTTGCTTGCAGGGTGTTTCTATGATAGACAAGGGGAGGGAAAGAGCGAAGGAAAACAATTGTCTTAAGAGAAGGAGTTGGAAAGGGGGGGAAGTTGGAAAATACTGTTGAGTTTTGCTTTCCAACTCTGAAATAATAGCCCTATTGCTTTCAGAAAAATCACAGGCCCTCCTTTTCTTTTGCCCCCTCCCTGAAGAAGAATTTGTCACTGCACAGCTGTGAAAGAGAATATATATGTATATATCAAAGACATATATTTATATAGATAGATGGACACGGACACACACAGAGAGTTTGCCCTTCTGAATTAGTTTGCAGGGCTGGACAAAACCTCATTGTGTACTTTATCTGTCCAGAAGAGAATGGGCCCACAGTCTCATTCTGGCAGGGCCTCTGCCTTTGGTTAACTGTGGTTAGACAACTGTAACTTCATTTAGATATGGTACTCTCTGTGTGTGTCTATATGAATGTGGTTTGGGCATTATTATTGATTGTGTGCGCATCTGCAGAAAAACACAAACATAAATCCTCTCCATGTCCTATTCAGAAAAAAAATAAGACCCATTTGACAGGTTTTAAGAATGGAGGTTAAAACATAAGCCTACATCTATTCATTTTAGTCTTTTCTAAGACCTTATATATTTGCTTCACTTGCATATTGTGGAGGTCTCTCCCAAAAATGAATATCCATAAATGTCAATATTATTGGATCAACATTTGTTAATTCAGAAATAATTCACTAGAAGTTATTTCCTAGTTAGGAAATTTCCTGATTGTTCTGTAGATACCACTTTGAGATATTTATGCAGAAGTATGGAAGAATTCAGTGAGGTTTTCTGAAACTAAGTAGGGAGAAATTTAGCAATGCATCTCATGTCTGGATTGACATATCATGTTATGCATGATTGGTTTAAACTATATTTTGAAAAGTTTTATTTTAGTGTAATGTATGTATCAACTAAGAATGCATGTGATATTATCTCCTATATCACCCACATGATAACATCTATAATTACAATTGATTACACTGACTCTAATTAATGGAAGTTGTGGTGCATAAATCAAATTGGGAGTCTCATCTATAGTATGTATTAAAATAAATCTATATATTTAAATCCCTCCCAAATCCTCCTGTGCTACCTTATTCTGGTGTGTGAATGTTCCTGTGTAGAAATAGTAGAATCTAGGGGTGGAGTGAAAAGGGGGATTATCTTATAATCCCTACATAGCCACAAGCGAACTAAGTCCAACCCCCCTTAAATGCCATTGGCCCATATCTAACTCTAAGCAGATGCTGACCATTAGGTGAGAAGATTCCTGTGCATAGGTTTTTAGCAATAAGGCAGCTGAATTAAATCTTCAAATTTGGACCTTGTCTTTCAGCACCTGACATCCTGGGAGGGATGAGTGAAAATGTTGGAAGTATATGCCAAGAGTATATATTTTTAGCAAAGTCTTCCAAGGCAGGAAAATTATCTCAGCTGCTCGGCTAAAGCAAGCACGCACCCATATAGGGCAGCAGCTATACAGTAGGAGGTCGGAGGTAGATGATCCTTTAGTGACAATGGCAAAGGCATTGTGTGGGACAAATAAATGGTAGAGCACTCCTGTATTTTTTTTTTTTTTACCAAGAACAGCATATGAATAGAAATTCACTGTTGGAAGACCTGAAAAGCCAGTTGATCATCTCTGTTTTCTTAGAATATTAGCAGCTGTCCTGCTTATTTATATGGAGCAAGCACGGAAATCTATGTAGATCAGTGTGTTCAATATCATGGACATTCTTTGTTTTAATCTGCTGCAGCAGGATGGGTAGTGTCAATAATATGAACTGCTCCAGTTTTATGCGATATAACTTCAGCTTGCTACAGGCAGTCCTCAACTTACAACCATTCATTTAGTGACCATTCAAAGTTACAATGGTACTGAAAAAAGTGACATGACCATTTTTCACACTTATGACTGTTGTGGCATCCACACAGTCATTTGATCAAAATTGGGGCACTTGGCAACTGGCTCAGATTTATGATGGTTGCAGTGTTTCAGAGCGATGTGATCCCCTTTTGCTACCTTCTGCCTAGCAACGTCAAGGGGGAAGTCAGGTTCACTTAACAACCATGTTACTAATTTAACACCTACAGTGATTCACTTAACAGCTATGGCAAGAAAGGTTGTAAAATGGGGCAAAATTCATTTAACAACTGCTTCACTTAGCAATAGAAATTTTGGGCTCCATTGTGGTTGTAAGTCGAGGGTTGCCAGTATCAGATTTTGTGGAAGGTTCCCTGTAATTTTAGAACAGTCTCAACAAATCCTGATTTCATACAAGCATTAGGTAGCTATTTTAAAAGGCTGAACCTTGTTAAAGAGACAAGAGGAGCTATGCTTGAATATAGGGCTCAGAAATATAGGGCTTCCTTCTTCTTCCTGGTGAGTCTCCACCCAGATTTTTGCAACCCCGATCATTGTAAAACCCTCTGCCGTCAGTCTTCCGTAATGCTCTTTCAGTTGTACACCTGCTGAACTTAAGACTGGGCTGGTAGATTGGAGCACAGCTAGTTGCTGGAAAGAGTGAACCAGACTCTGGAAAGAGTGCAGAAAAGAGCAACAAAGATGATTAGAGGGCTGGAGGCTAAACATATGAAAAATGGTTGCAGGAATTGGGTAAGTCTAGTCTAGTGAAAAGAAAGACTGGGGTGACATGATAGCAGCGTTCCGATATTTGAAGGGGTCAACCTGTCTTCCAAAGCACCAGAAGGTAAAACAAGAAACAATGAATGGAAATTGATCAAAGAGCTAGCAGGCTAGAACTATGGAGAAAATTCCTAACAGTGAGAACTATCAATCAGTGGAACAGCTTGCCTTCAGAAGTTGTGGTCGCTCCATCACTGGAAACTTTTAAGAAGAGACTGGACAGCCACTTGTCTGGTATAGGGTCTCCTGCTTGAGCAGGGGGTTGGACTAGAAGACCTCCAGGGTCCCTTCCAGCTCTGTTCTGTTAACCATTCTCTAAACTTACATTGTCATGCCACACAACCCACATTTCATGAAGCAGCGAGTAACACATGTGTTTTAGTTGCTTGTAAATTTACCATTTAAGTTAACGGTATGGCAGGGCAAGACAAAAACAGCGACTTCGAAGGCAGCCGTTCGCGTCTTGCCCGCTCTGGCCAGCAGAGAGCAGGAGCAGTGGAGGCGGGCGGCGGCGGCGGCGGAGGAGAAGGCGGAGAAAAAGAGGCGAGGAGGGCGTGCGGGGAGAGGCTGGGGCGTCCGCAGATCCAAAGTTGACTGCCAAGCGGTGTGGGGAGGGTGGGGTGGGGGGGAAGCCGCCGTGAAGTGCCGGCTGGGGGAGCCTGGGAGTCAATCGCCCCGGAGGAAAGCGTGTCGCTTCTGCTCAGGCGACGGAGGCACGCCCCAGCTCGGGGCTAGAGTCCGGGGAGCCTAGTCCGAAGTCCCAGGGCGAAAGGGCTCCGGGGCGCGCGGCGCCGGTGTTGCGCGCTCGAGGCGCCCTGGCCCGGGGGATGCCCCTGTGCGGGCTCGGCGACTAGCTCGGCCGCTTGGTGCATGGCCCAGCTATGGAGGTGGTGGATGAGACCGAAGCTCTGCAGCGCTTCTTCGAAGGTAGGCGAGTGCGAAACCCGGCATGTTGTGCAGGGTGGGGAGAAGGGCAAAGCCAGCCCCGGTTTCCTTCGCCGCTACTCTTTGATTTGGGGGAACAGGGCGCGTGGGGACGGCGGCCGCGGCGCCTCAAGTAATGCGTGTCGTGTCGAGCACCGCAGGTGTGTGGCGGGAAAGATAGGATTTCTTGGATTCGCGCGAAGGAGGTTGCGAGAAGGCGAATTAGAAGGGCAACGCCATGCATTGAAGGGGCACCAGGACCGCTCGCCGAGAGCTGCCCACGGGCCCTGTCAGAAAGGGAATCCGGACCATATCGCAAACGCCTCGCGAGGGGCTTTTGAACGATTCCCTTTCCCCTCCCGGTACCCCGCCAAGTCCCGCTCGTCTCCTGAAATTGCACGCCTCGATTCTTTATTTACTTTCTTCTGCCCCTCGAAGCTCACCTTGCGTTACAGTCTGATACGGGTCACGTGTTACGAGCGATCCTGAGCTGGCTCATTGGTCTTGTTAATGCTTGGTTCCGTGTCCAAATTGAAAGACGAAAGCTTTGAGGGCCACGGCTGAACTATGATACGACTCACACAGGTATAAAACCACTGGATTTTTTTTAAACCAAAATTCACAATAGTTAAATCAGTAATAAACTATAGAGCAGAGTCAAAAGTGATTGTGTCAGGATCTTGTTCCTTCCACCATTTTTCTCCAAATTTCTAGAACCTTTTATCATGTCATCTTGGATACATCTAATTGTTAATAATTGGTTAGAAAATCCATATGGGCTGACAGTTGGAATAGAATCAGAAAGTGCAAAGTTACCGTTTACTTTTTCCTATAATACAGCACATCGATCCTAATATTCATTCTAAAATCCCACAGTCATTCTCAAGTGAGTCTCAGGTCATTTGTCACATGTCAACATTATCCAGTCCTTACTAGGCTTTGAGAAGTCCCTTAATCTTTTGTAAAAGATTATATACTAATGAGGATTCCTTCCCTTTCTGTGTGTCCGATTCAACATGGCAAAGGCCTGTATGTAATTTTTCCTACATGGTTTCCATTTTGTTACCATGATGTCATAATACCCTGTGATGGATATTATTTTTGAATTTTAAATTGTATGGAAATTCTCATATCCAGAAAAATTCAGGGATTTGATCCTTTCCTCACAGCATATAGTACCTGTTGTGTTGTGGTTTGCAAATCTTTGATTGCCACTGATCACAAATGGAGCTGGCAGCTAGTTCTGACTCTGAGATACAAAAAGAAATATATCTGTTTCGTTCACATTTTATGCATACTCATAAAATGTGAGTAGATATTTTAAAATGTTAATTCTGGGAGCAAAAATAATGATTCTTGCAGCACCCTCAGTATTAATGCAAATCATTATGACATAAGAACATTAGCTTTTCTGATGTTTTAATTATTTTTTTCATTGTTGAAAAGCTGCAACACTCTGTTTTCACTTTCTGAAAAATATTGTATGAACTTATTCTTAAGGAAGACTAGTTATGTATTACTTGAGTGCTCAATATTTAAATTACCTAATATAAGGCAATTTGGTTTTATTTTAATGTATATATAGGAATATGATTTTATTTTAATATAGCTACAGGAATCTCAATACTTTTGGGATAAGAAAAGTCAAAATAGGGGAGTCTGATTCTTGTACTGTTTTCTCTGTTGAAATTGCCTCTTTCCTTACCTGCAGACTGCTATTAGTCCCAGAGGAGGAATGTATTATTTCAGTCCTTGAAAAACTAACAGCCCCCCTGCAGGGTGATAAGTTTTTATTAAGTGCATAATAATGTTTATCTTAAATTAAGTCGGCATGTTCTTCCTGAATTTTTTTTTAGGTCTTTGTCTCTTTAAGTTACTTTTGTGCTGTGTTTCAAGATTTTCTTTGCTATAGTTCTTATCTTTATTTATAAACCTTTTCTTCTAGATAGTTCCAAAATTCTCCTGTGATTTTTCCTTTGTAAGGTGCTATGAACCATCTTTTCTTAGCAGAACTTTTGTATTTGTGGTTTCATGGGAAATATGACTTATTTCACTGATCTTGATTCCATTTCAGAAAACTAGCACTTCAAATCAAACTACTTTACCGATGAATAAATAGTAAGGTGGGGGGGGAGCACTCCAAAGTGGTATCCTATGTGAATAATTTTTAAGTCATATCCTGCACACTTTAGTTGTGGACTGGCTGAATGGAAGGGTGACTTGATGTCAAAGTAATGTATTGATCAAATCCAGGATTTGATAATATTTTATATTCTTCCTCAATACTTCTTTTCTTGTCAACTTCTTCATGTAGTGATGATGTGGCAAATGAACTAGAGCAATTCATAGAAATGGTAATAAACTGAAAAAAGAATTGTTTGCAGACCAAATAAATCACATCTAATATCTTTCAACTTATGGTCTTTGTATACATTTGTTTACAACTTATTGGTCTTTGTATACAGTTGTTTGCTGCCTATGCTCATGGGCTGAAGTGGTGTCTTACAATATTGTTAATTATAATAATTAACAATATTGTAAGACACCACTTCAGCCCATCAAATCCAACTCCTTGCCTCTAATTCAAATCTACTCATACTGTGGTGCAGAATTGCTTAAAAGAATCCCCAGTCACAAAAAGACTTGGAATTAAAAGGTCATACAGGCAACTGGTTTACCTATTTATAACTGAAAGAAAGGTTTACTTCCGATGAGAAACTATCTGGTTTTAAAGCTGTTAAAAATGATTTTGCAATTGTAGTGTGCTAATGATGAACACTTTATAGCTAAAGTATATAAAATGCTGCTGATATTAAATTTAGAAAGTGAATATGTTAAGCATTGTACGATTTAATGGGGAAGAAATTTTGGCTATAATATAGTGTTGGACCAGTGGGAACAATTGTAGACCAATGACTGAAATATACATTGAATTATAATCTTAGAGAATTTTTATAAAATGGTGTACTGATAGTATTTAACACCAGATATATTATCTAAAACATACAAAAGTCTTTTGAATGTTTGCTGGGTATATAACTTGTAAGGAAGGTATTTTTAAATCATACGTGTTGGATGTGTAATAAAGTAAAGGAATATGGGGAACAGCAGATCCATATTTTAATTCAGATTATCCTTAAAATGGACTTACAGTGGAAATCAGAAGGTTTTTTTAAAGTGCTATTGGATAAATCGATGGAAAAAAAATTGGAACTTTGTTGTCGTTTGGAACTTTGTTGTCGTATACTTTAGCACGAATCCTATATGCTCAAAAATGGAAAGTGTTAATTTCCACAATGGAGGAATGGATTGAAAAGATGATGGAACTGACAGAAATAGCAAAGTTAACTGCATTAATTAGAGAAACGAATTTATGTGGTGTGGTTTCCACTTGGAAACTGCTTTTAGACTTTCTGCTCAAAAGAGAAAAAAAATGAAACTTTGATTTTAGGTTTTGATGGTTAAGTAGATCATGGTTACAGAAATGGCTAATTTACTATTTTAAATATGTAAAAAATTGATACTATAACTGTACTATATATCCTATTCCACTGAAAGAAATTGCTTTCCTTCTTTTCTTTTTCTTTCCTCGATTTATCCATTTTTTCTGCCTCCCTTTCCTTCCCTCCTTTTTCCATTGACTTTATTTTTATTTTTATTTATATTAAGCAAAAATACCTTTTAATTATTTTTTTAAAGAATCTCCAGTCATCACAAATTTAAAAGAAGCATTGTGGCTTATTCTCATGCTTTATCTCATTGCTTAAAATACTTTAAAATATAAGGGATGACAAATTAACTAATCCCCAAGTAATTATAGTTATAGTTATTATAGTTATAGTTATTATTATAGTTATTCAGAGTCTCTTGTTGATTTACTATATAGAGTAATATTACCAATTTCCAAAGTTTTCAAGTACATCCTTCATAACATCCTAACTTCCCCATCTGCATTTTTAAATGGTTTACTCTAGAAGTAACAGTGACTAATTTTGAAGGGAGAAATATGGCATGTCACTCTTAAAGTAAAATCAAAATGATGCACTGTTGTTGAACTTCATTACACATGTATGTTTGATGGAGTCTTTGCAGTTATATCTTTTAAGAAACTATTTTGTCCAATGTTATTAACCTGTACAGTGTGAAAATGAGATAGTAGTTTGTTACTTTTGTAACAAGACTATGAGAAGTAGGACTTATTTAGCTCCTACAAGTCACTGAGTTGTTTGATTTTCTCTTTAGAGTGTACAAATTTCTAGGTAGCTAGCTAATTCTGTTTGGTTCTCATGTAATGTATTTTTTATTTGGGTATTCTGTTAGATGAGTGGAAGGAAATATTTGTAAAAAAGAGACTGCTGATATGGATTATCACCCTGTTTCCATATATTCTTCTCTTCCTTGTTTTAGTTTCTTTTTATGAGATGTTCCTGATTGTTTTTAAAATAAGAACACTTGATAGGAATAACTTCTCATCAACTTTTGATTTGCTGTGTACAAAATTTACATTATCAAAGTCCAGACTGAGGTGAATTGTGAAATTTGGAAGAAAAATACGCACAAATGACAACTCACAATTAAAACCCAACTTTATACTACTCCTGCTAAGTGATTCACTTTAGTTATAATGATCTACCATATATATTCATGGATAAACCAAAAATGTTAAGTTCCAAAATGCACCCCCAAAGGTTTGTTCCTTTTTTAACCTGCAAATCAGAGCTTAAGATCTTTAAAACACATCATGGCCTTAAAATTGTGTGGTTTTATAAATGACAGGAACAGTTTGCCATTTTCCACCTGTCACTATGTATAAAAATTCTAGGATGGGCTTATCCGCAATTAGTTATGGTAGTATAAGAATTGCTTTTCAAGATCGGACAATGTGGCAGTTGCCCTTTAGATTGTCATCTTCTCGAACTTTTCCAAGGCCAAATAATGAAAAAAATTATCATGATTCCCTTTATCTATTTCACCCTCTTTTATTTACTGTTTGATTTTACTGA